GGGGGCACACGACAGTGCTGTTTGTTTGTTTTAAATCTAGATTAATGCCGTGGTTTTAATACAAACATGAACCTGTCTTCAGAAGTTGACATCACTGAGGAATCAGCCAATTGGTTGACGTTTAACCAACCTTCTTTTTACACATAAACCCCATCAAAGAGTTGTTTACACTAATGTTCTTTTGAAATGCAAATCCAGAATGCCAACAGACTGAAACTCAATTTAGATTAATGTAATTACCTGCAATACACAAATGAGGCTATACTATTTAATAGCTTTCACGTAAACCTTTTTAGAAGATCAAAAAGTCTCCTATTGTTGAAGTTTAGTCCTACAACAATTAAAGGATGCCTCTGTGTGATTTTCGTGTTACCTTTGTAACTTTCTAGAAACTTGTGGGTTTGCTTCGGTGCTCTGAAATAAAAATATCTGAAATAATTAGAATTCACATCGAACAAGTGTAACTACTTTGTGGCACGTTAGGTGCACATCTCACAGGGAGGTCTTTTGCTGCTTTCTTGTTAGAATATTCTTTTTCTTCAGAAAAATGATTGTCTCTCACTTTGTTTTAGGCTTTAAAGAAATCAATGCTCCGACTATTACCCCGCCTCTCAATCAGCCCAAAAGATCAAAAAAACGCCATGCAAATTTGACATTGGATAAAATGATGGAAAAATTCCTGCAGCAGAGCGTGGATACAGAAGAGAAATTTTACAGATATGAAGAGCAGAGGCTCAAAATTGAGGACAAGCGTCGGGAAGCTGAGCATGCTCGAGAGCTCCAGATGTTACAGATGTTGGGACAGATGTTGGCAGGAATTTCTTCTACGGTATCACAAAGGTCACAGTCTATACCAGCGAGTCCACCTCAGAGAGCGAACCATCGTTCATACGGGGATAACTTTAATTATAATGCTATGACAACAGCACTTTCTCCACCGATAGGTACTTTCTTCTATAGCGTAAATAAAAGCTAGGGTTTTTTTAAACTTCTGTGTGAAAGCACTGGTAGTAAGTAGCTTTTGAAAATAAAAGCTAATTGGAATTATGTAATACTGTGGTGAAGGTGTCTGTCTGATGTATAATGAACTGAAAACGTCATTTGTACCATTGTACTGATTATTTATTATAGATACATTAGTTAAATTTTAATGAGCAAAATCACACCTTTCAAACCTTGTAAACATTGGGGACTTCTTTCCACATTCACATCTCTGTAAAGTGAAGTTAGGAGAAGCGTTGTATATAAAAGGCAAGTAGCACGTTTGCCGAGAACTGTCTGGAAACACTAGGTACCTTGTAGCGGAAATTCTGCTGCTGTTGAAGTTAGCAGGCCTAACCCACTATATGAAGTTAAGGCAGTGCATATGTTTTTTCAGGGTTGGGAAAAGAGTGGAGTTTTGCCTACACTGAAGTAAGTCAAATGTTAAAATCCAGCTTCTTTTAAAAAAAAATTCTGAATCTTACCTTTTAATTAATCATTATATTATTGTAGTAGGTGTAATAGAAGATGAAAATATTAGCATATATTTTTCTTCTACACCAGTTCATTTATAAATTCTTTGTGTTTCTGAATTTATTTTAAAGAAAAAGGCAAAGCAATAACTCTGGAATTGGTGTTTATGAGTAGAATTTCCCTTCCGTACCTTATGTGTGGGCCAGAAGCCGATAATCGGATATTAGCGTTGATTAACAGACTTCTCGGGATCTGTGGCTCCATGTCATTTGTCTTTATTATAGTCTTTATGTACGTGGAGGCAGACTGCATGGGCAGGAGGAGAACGGGGATCCTCTTGTCAGCGCTGAAATGAGTCAGTGTGGGGCTTGGTGACTGTAGCCTGCTGCGTGGAAACGAAAGAGGTCTCGTTTTGTTTTAATTCCAAATTTCACACTGCTCAGAAGCAAAAAGCATGGTTTGTGGAGAGAAAAGAACACCCAGCCTCAGTGTTGAGCAGTAATCAGGCATGCCAGATCCTAAAGGGCATTCTCCGATTCCTGAGAGGATCTTGGAGCCTTTTCAGTTCTGCGTTTCGTGCTGCGTTTCCCTGTAAAATGCCTGGGGGACTGGATGGTAAGGTCTGTCGAGGGTTTAGGCTGGCTGACTTGGCTGTGTTTCTTCTTGACTGGGTAGTTGGTCTGTAGCATTCCTTGATGGCAGCAGGGCAGACTGCATGGGCAGGAGGAGAACGGGGATACTCTGTCAGCGCTGAAACGAGTCAGCGTGGGGCTTGGTGACTGTAGCCTGCTGCGTGGAAACGAAAGAGGTCTCGTTTTGTTTTAATTCCAAATTTCACACTGCTCAGAAGCAAAAAGCATGGTTTGTGGAGAGAAAAGAACACCCAGCCTCAGTGTTGAGCAGTAATCAGGCATGCCAGATCCTAAAGGGCATTCTCCGATTCCTGAGAGGATCTTGGAGCCTTTTCAGTTCTGCGTTTCGTGCTGCGTTTCCCTGTAAAATGCCTGGGGGACTGGATGGTAAGGTCTGTCGAGGGTTTAGGCTGGCTGACTTGGCTGTGTTTCTTCTTGACTGGGTAGTTGGTCTGTAGCATTCCTTGATGGCAGCAGACTTTTGTAGATAAATTACGGCGTACACAGGGATTCTGTGTTTTAAATGTTGTTTTCACTTTTAAATTAGAAGGAAACCTGAAGTGCTTTAGAAAATCCTTTGGGAAATAGTTTGAGGTTCTAGACTGGGGTGATGATACCTACAAGGCCTTACCGTTACTTGAGAGAGGTTTTTTTGTTGAAAGAGTTTAATTACCTGTGAAGACTTGAAACTAAAGTTCAGTTTTTCTTGTTGTATAGATGTACAGTCATATTACATTGTGCAAAAATGTGTTAGAGATATTCAACTGTAGCAAGAGCAACTCGGGATTCTAATCTTCTAATTGGTGAAGGTGTAACAAAGTGTTTATAAATGTGAAAATAACGCTTCAGGCAGTACATCTTTTAAGGAATTAAAATTTTAGTTGTTTGTAGCTAAATATGCCTTAGTGTTTCTGTAGGTAAGTGGGGCTCTAATAAGAATCGCTTTTTGCATGATTCTCTGTTTTCTCCCTATTTATTATGCAATCATTTTAGATTTCAATATAAACAAAAAACGGCAACAAAGAAACAGAGGGCCTTCTTAACAACGTTGCACTCTAAGGGTGACAAGCTGTATGATAAGTGTATTTCTTGTGTGGTTGAGAACCAATGAGTGTATGAAGTGTGATTTAAAGAAAATAATCTGCCCTATTTCCAGAGGAGATGAGCATTTTGTTCTCCTCTGGGTCACTGCAATGCTATTTTGGCCATAATCCAAAACGGGGTTGTTTTTTCTCTTTCCTTTTTTTTTTCTCAGTAGGAATGAGGTGCTTCTATTATTGAAGGATTTTAAAAGCAAAAGATCAGCCAGGAGTATTCATCATTATTGAACACTAAAGCACTTTATTACTGAAGATTAGCACGTCTGGTTTAGGTTTAGATACTGTAGAAAAAGATGCTTTCTGCTGATAGCACACAGATGCAGAGTTTTCTTGTTTATTAATTTTTTTCCCCGTTATTATGTCCAAAATTTCTGAAACAGTTTTTTCTCTTCTTTTTGGTTTCTCTTGATGTAGATCTTGGAGTTGGGGGGGTGGGATTACAAAGTTTTTTACAGCTGAAAGTAAGGAGTATCATGGGAGTTATTTTTTACATAGTTATGCATTACTATATAGCAGTTCCTTGAAAGCTTTTTAGAAGATCTGTAAAAAAAGTAAGCGTAGCTACGTTCTAGGAGACGAATACTAATGCTCAAATAAATCGTTCTGAACAGAATTGTACGGGTAATGAGGAGCTCCGTTGAAATACATGAACTTTTACTGTATTTACTGCAATTTATAGTTAACACACTGTTCACAGAAGTACTGATCTTCAAATTTGTCCCGTTAGGTAAACTGTAATTCTCTGTAGTTGTAGAAATACTTTTTTCTTCTAAATTTTTGTAGTCTTTTGAAACACTCATTTGAATGTGAAGCCCTCTGTGCAGTTGTTTTAATATGTAGCTTGACAGGTAGCTTTGCATCAGAGATCTGTAGTTGTATTATAGCTCAAAATTATCTTTGTGTGATATCTTGTAACATTTGCCTCTAGTGCGTTGGATTATAGTTTTGCAGAAAGGCGTTCGTTATGCTTTGTAACCACCTGCCAAAATAAAAAAGCAGTGCGGTAGGCCCTGATTCTGCTAGGAGGTGGAAGTCTTTAAGGGGAAGCAAAAAATAAGGTAGAGTGTGCGCTTAAAATGTGGTTTTAGTTGCTCTGTGTCTGAATGAATTTAGTCCTTACCAAGTGTACCTGTTTCAGTTGAGCTTAATCCTGGAAGTGATTTCAGGCTGAACTAAGAAGATATTTCTAGTTGCAAAATGTTCATACAGCTATTCTGGGCTGTTGCTTCTTACTGTGCCTGACCCCTAAATTAGTACTGTGAGCAGTCAGTGGGAATATTCCCTGCACCAGACCCAAAATTAATTTTTGAGATGATCACCTTCCCTAGTTACTCACTATTTTAAAGGCCTTTAAGTGACGAAGCATTTGGTTTTTAGAAGTATGTCACTTTGTATATCTTTGAGTGTTTTTAGTAGTGTGTACGAGCGCTTAAAAGAAATGCTGATGGTAGTTTAAGAAGGAACATACTTTAAAGTAACACTTATTTTCTTTTTTTCAGTTATAGAGAGATCTTTTTCACTGCACAGAACACACTCTTTAAAGGATATGGAGAATATTTTTCAACTGGTGCGCAATGTTATCCCTCCTCTAACAGGCAAAAGGCATAAAGGTCAAGATGGACGTATAGGCATTGTTGGAGGATGTCAAGAGTAAGTTAAACAGAAACTCGTTTTTTGTTTCTGAGAGAGTTTGAGGGTGTCATAAGTACTTGTAGAAGCCATTCAAACTCACCTTACATGTAAAATGTGAGTATTTTCCAGACAGCTTTACTAGTCCGTCACCGTGACCACGCGTGTTTATGAAAGAACATGTGTCCCTGCAATCGTGTTGCAAAATTTTTGGTAGTGAATGTGGTTGAGACTTAGAATGCTGTTTGTGTCTGCCTTCTCTGTTGTTTTTGACCAGCAAACTCTCTCTGCTTTCAGCGTTAGTCTTTTCTCATTGCGTGATGAAGTTATTGAACAAGTAGAACAGAGTAAGACAGTGGCACATCTGGTATATTTTCATGTCTTGGAAACTGAGTCTCTTAAATCAGTAATAGAATATCTTCTTGCTGAGCACTTTTTATTTTGATAAATTGTGGTATTTACTAGATTCTGTCAATACCTTATTTTGTGTTCTGGAGTAATAGAAATGGCGTGTTTAAGGGAAAAAAAAAAATGGCATACATGAGTTAAATGCTGTACTGACCTAGAAATAAATGAGGCTCTGTTCTTTTCTTGGCCGCATTCAGTAGCCTGCACAATACTTTGAATGAGCCACTACACCTTCTTGTTTTTCATTTTCTCCTTTTGAGATAGAGATGGCACCTTTCTCCTGTATAAGAGATCTGCCATTGGACATCTGCCATTAATAAATGTTCTATGAAGAGCAGAAAGGTGCTGTCTTCCAGCTGGGTTGGTTAGCCAGGAGTTAGTTTTCCTGTTGGTCTAATGGGCTTCGGTTCTTACCTCTTGGCAGAAGTAGGCACCACTGGAGGGTGATTCTGTCCATCTCTCTCTCTGCAGCCTTCATAAAGAGAATTTGGGGCAACTGGAATCACAGTTTAGGCACTTTAGTTAAGCATCTAAAACCAGATGGGATTGATCTAGGTCACGGATCCCAGATTTGGCTTGTGAACAGTGCTCGACTCTTGTTTTGTTGTCTTTGAACTTTCAAGTTCGTTGTCTGAGAAGAGTTTGCTTTTTTTGTGATGTGATCTTTATAAATATTTCTGTGAAAGGGTCAGGTGGCTGAGGTGAAATCCTATGCCTTTGAAATCAAAGCAAGGGTTGAGATTGGCTTCAGTATAGCAAGATTTCATCTGTCTTTTACAGCAAACAAAAGAGAAAGCTTTTTTAAAAATTTGCTCTTGAATTTGGGACTCCATTATGGCAGGCTTATTTCCAGATTATCTAATCTTATGACTGTGTTTCCTAACCTAAATTGTATTTTATTCTAGATACACTGGAGCACCGTATTTTGCTGCAATTACAGCTCTCAAAGTGGTACGTGTTCTTTTATACCAATCCAAAATGAACTTTTCATCATTTGTACTGGCTAAACACCATTTTTTAAAAGCATCTGTTCTGTGCTGCATGTGAAATTTGAGTTCTAAAAGGTCTTCTATCTAACAAAGAAAATCCTTGGTCCTGGATATGTAGAAATACTTTGTAAATATGTCATTGGCTATGATTTCTGTAAATATTTTCTCTGTGTAAGGTAAAGTTAATCCTGTGTTGAAAAACTGAAAATTTCTGAGGGAGAGCTGTTTTATCAGAGACATGGATAGGAAATTTCAAAACCTGATGAAGTATTTTCTCCAAAAGTGAACAATAAAATAGCTTCAGATTAATGTTTAAAGTTATGTTTTCAGTGCTGCAGTCGGTTCTTCAGAATTTTTTTCTGGACCTGAGAAGTGTGTTGAATGAGGTATCTTTCAAAACTTGCAGCTTTAGGCCAGTAAAATTCTTACGTATTGTAATTTTTAATAGCACATTTTATTTACGTTATAATCTCTAGCAGAATTATTTTCTAGGTGTTTTTTTTTCCCCCTAGAAGTGTGAACTTCTTTATTTTAGTGACATATTAACTGGCTAAAAATATATTTAATGCAGACTACATAAATACAGTGGTGGTTATTAAAATGTAAACAAATCATGCTTACATAATACACATACTTTTCAGTACTCTAGTGTGTCAGGACTTTCATTTCACTGTGTATGTTTTTCTCTTTGAAGATTTGTTTCAATAAGTAGGTAACCAGTCCAGAAATTCACACACACACATACACACACACCCTCCCAGGGTGCAGTCCCTCAGGGATTTAAAACTGAAATGATATTATTTTATTATCTTATGATAAAAGATATTAAGGCCACTCAGCTGTCTGTTCCCTATGTGCAAATACAGTAGCATACTAGGAGGTCCGCTATTGAAGTCACTTGGTCTCAGGTCATTACCTCTGCACATACAGAGTCATAGAATCAAATCTCTGCATTGCTTAGTAGCTTGAAATGTTAAATGTATAGTAGTAAAGCAGAGGAGACACTTTCTTAACCTTGGGAAATTTCAGTATGCAAGACGGGTAGAAGATCAGGCTTTCTGCTCACTGCTTACATAGTTTTATGTGTGTGTCTGATTTTTCGAGTTGATAGCAGAAGCTTGAGGCTAAGCTGCTCAGCTTTAATGTTTATTTAACTTGAGGGGTGTTGTTGAAATTGTGCCAGCCTTTATCTGGTGTGGATTTGGCTCATTGAGTAAAAATGGTAGGACTGGAAATGTGCTCAGAGATTGCCATAGCTGTATTTTGCAAGTATATTACAGTATTATTTTTCCTCTCTAATGTAGCTTGTCTCTTGCTCAGCTGTGTTCTTCTACCTTTCTTCTTATTGTACATGTGACATTTTAGTCTTTGCTCATCTACAAATGAGAAACGTTTCTCAAGTGAGTGAAAGTTCAAGATCTGTTTTCAGTCATCCCATTGATGAGAAACAGAAAAAAATTATATTGGAAGTTTGATGAAAAAAAAAAAATCTCCAAAACATTGCATAGTAGTCTAAGCCAAAATAGAAAAAATAATAAACGTTGCTTTAACTACATTCACTGAGTAAACTTTGGAATGCTAAAGTTATTATTAAGTATAAATTTGATAATTCTGTTTGCAAATTTTCTTTTTTAGGGTGCAGATTTATCCCATGTGTTTTGTACCAAAGATGCAGCAACAGTAATCAAATCATATAGTCCAGAGCTGATTGTTCATCCAGTTCTGTAAGTGACTTATCTTTTGTTTAAATGAGCAAGTCAGGCTTACTAGTTTGAACATTTCAATCTGACAGTTGATTAGTTTGCATTATTTCTTTTTCTGAGTTACAGGATGAGTGAGCTGGAGATTACAAAAATTCCGGAGTTTGGCCTTTCATTACAAACGGTTGGATCTTTAATATAGAGCAATCAGTTGTGATTTTTTTTTTTTCATTACTATCAAAGTACAGTTTTTTAAAAAGCAAAGATCTTGCTTTCTGCTACTTGCTGGCATGTGTTCTGTGATTGTAGTGCATTTAACTGTGAACGGTGGCAAAATCCAGAACTAAGAATCACTACAAGTCAGCATTTTAGAATCTGCATTTGAAAGGCAAATAGAGTATGTTCTCTTGCTTTTTCAGTCCTAATAGTATTGAGCAGTAGTGTATCTTTTTTCCTCTCACTACTGTGTGTATAGTCATTTACGCAAAATTACCAGGCAAGAGAGACGCTGATTCTTCGTAAGTGTGTTACATTAGATACACGCCTCTTCCTGGGAATAAGTGGATGTTCTAAAATGATCTGAAGTACAGGGTTTATTAACAAGAAGATGAAAAGTGTTATAAGCAGCTGTCCTCACTGGGAAAATCAGTATGTGCTTCCCTGAATTTGTGTTCTGAAATACATTACTGATTCGTGAACTTCTACAGGATAAGTAGTTTCAATTAGGTATTATGATGGTTTACAATGAGCACTGTAAATGAGAATTAAGATGTGTGCCTTAGGTATATGTCCCTGAGCTTAGCTTGCACCCATGCGTGTCAAAGTGTGTTGGTGTACATAGCAAAGCTGTGATTAAGCCAGAAAAAGCACAATTTAAAATTGTGTTTGTCAGATACTGCTGTCAGGAAGCATTTATGACAGCAGAAATATTTCGGTGTCTGAGAAGAAGAATATGATCTCCCTTATGGGGATGCCTGCGGTTGGAAACCGTAAGTTTATTATGTTCTAAAGGTGGGTTTCATTCGTGTTGTTAGAAGGAAGTCAGATATCAAGGGTTGTGTTTTGTTGTGGGTTTTTTTGAAAGACAGAAGAAACACATGACTTTGTGGATTTTAGACAGGGAAAAAAAGGTATTTGAAAGCAACGGGAAGATACAAGGGTAGGGTTTTTCCTAGTCCAACTGCATTAGCCTCTAAAATCCAAAATACACATCTTCACTTGATGTTCTGTCTGCTATCCTATGGTAATGATAGAAGGGATTAAATGAACAAATGAAATGGAGAATCTTAGTGGCCGTATTAGCTTGTAACTTAGGTTGTCTTGGTGGATGACACTTGGGATACAGCATATGGTTGTCTTGTATGGGAAGGAGTTGACCTTGCCTTGGGAGAAGCATTTTTCCTATACAGAGGGTTCTTGATGTCTGTGGTAATGCAAAAGGCTAACAGGAGAAACAGAAGCGTCACAGAGAAAAAGGGAGGTGACAATGAGTAAACAGTAGAATTCTGTTCACAGAGGACCAGATTGTGCCTGCTAAATACGGGTATTTTTTATTATACACAGATTCCCAGTGTCTCCTGTAGAATTTAGATCTCAATGAAAACTCCGATTTTTCCATTTGCAGAGAGAACTTTTGGTTTTAAACTTCATCTCTGTCTATAAATTCCTCCACATGTACAAAGTATGGTGAATCTAGAAGTTTTCATATCCATATAGCTTTAAGTCTGAAACTCAGTGTTTAATACTTTTACTACAACTTTGATTAATTTCGCCCAGACAGCTGGCTAATTGTATGAAGCAATGGATCTGTAAATATTGTTTATATGACATGCAAAATGAAAAAAAATGCAAATATCAGAATGTTCAGATTTTGTTTGTTAAATTTTCTCATATTTTTATCTCTTCTTTTCTGCTTCATTTGAGGAAAAGAGAAAACAGTCTTTACTGGTTAGAAAGGAAAAAATCTTGACTGACTCTATTGAGCCCAGGTTTTGTTCAGATTTACACAAACGGCCTATTTTTCTCATCAGGTCCTTTGTCTTCAGTGTCACACTTTTCGTATGATCTTTTATATGCTGTGGAGCCGTTGGAGTTCGGCAGGCATGGTCGGCCGCTCTCGATTCAGAGCCTGATCTCTTAAACAGTCTTTGTACTTTCTCCGGGGCCGCACTTCACGCATGGAAGAACCTCTGGGTAAAACCTACCAAGCAGCTACGTCATTGTTTTCTTTTGTGTCTCTCCTTAAAACTTTGCTTTGTTATGATTTCTCCATGACCCTTCAGAGTAACTAGGTGGCTGTTGTACCACCCTCTTATTATGCTAATCATAATTACGGCCCCGTGTACTCCTCAATTCACAGTTTGAACAGCTTGGCATTTCGCCAGGGTTCAGCTGCCATTTTGTACTGTCAGGAGTCTGACATTTTATCATCTCCTCTGTGACTTGGCTGCCACCTACCTGCCCCTGGAAAGCCAGGGCTCTTCTGGCTCGTTAGAGCTGCGGTCGCTCATCTTTGGCAGCATGGCTAGCAAAGGTATGAAAGAGCTAGAAGTTGCACTGTTGCGTCTCACGTCCTTGGCAAATGTCTGTCACTTCAAGGATGCGAGGAATGTTATGTGAGAAAGATTGAGTGGGGTTGCAGAAGGAGGGTTGTGAAGATGGGCATCCATCTTGCAGCACTGCCAGGGCAATTCCGTATGGCCCCAGATGCAGACCGTCCTTTCTGGTGTAACATCCTGTCCTGTAGACACCCACCATGCAACTTTGGTTTTTATCTTGTAACTTCATTCCTTGGTCCTGTGAGTGAAGGTCGGAGAGCTGGGGCTGCCTGTGGCAGGGCC